GATAATTAATTTACCAAGACATGATTATGTGATCCCTTCTGGTGTCTTCCATTTGTTTTTAGGTGATGATTTGTCATTACCATGTGGAAGGTGAGAAATGAAAGAGGGCAATGAAGTGCAAAAATGGGGTCCAAATTTTGTCTTTTAATGACGTTATGCATTAGGATAATCAATCACCTTTGATTAATTAAGATAATCAACTTTCTGCGTAAGGATATGCTTGTGGGGTTTATTAAGATGATAATTACAAAATGTTCATAACACCTGGTGGATTTGTCTTATGTATTGTGATTGTGAAGACCTAATTAGTTGTCGAAATGCACAACCACTTAACTAAACCGTCTTAGGATAAGAGAGTCTTTCCTAATCCTAAGAGATAATCACTAACCTAATTGCTAGTCATGAAAAGAAACTTGCATGTCACACACGAAATAGAGACATATATAAGGGTGATGACACCACTTCGTAACAGGAAAGTTAATTTCATCTGCATCGTAATCACCTTCAAAATAAATTTTTATTTTTTATTTTTTTATTTTAGAGAATCAGCTTGTGCCTTCGCAAAGCTAGTCCACCTTTCCAGAAGCGGATAAGGCTCACAGAGGCAATTCAACTTCCTCCTGATCACCATCATGTGATTCACCAGCACCATAAATCTAATACAAGAGATGTCTTGTGGAATACGGACCTGAAGGGGACACCCCGTAGTGGTCACACATGAAGATAATAATTCGTTCATTTCCTGAAGTGGGTCCATATTCTGGATGTTGCAGGTAGTAGGCCATACCACCAAGGATCTACCATGCTGCAGACAAAATTTAAGGCATCGGAATTGTTCAAGAAAACTTCGGTTGGGGTCCCCGATCACATCATATGCGAGTTTACTTTCACAAAACCATGAGCCCCGTGTTCGGTTTCTACGATCCACAGTGGTTTCAGATGGTGCGAGTGAAGCCTACCGAAAAATCTCTCCAAAACTCGACCAAGCAACAATTATTGAAGGTTAAAACTTGAAAGCAATCACTTGAATACAAACCTGCTCAAAATACTTGTCTGCTCAAGTTGATCGCAACTTGCAAAGGCACAGATTTTCTAATATCTCAAAACAATACAATCATTTTCTTACAAAGATACGGAAAAACAATCACTAGGGTTACACAAGCTAAGAGTAATACAAGTAGTTCACAATAGGGCTTCTCAAAACCGGTTTCCGGAGGAGCTTTTGACGTTTTAGGAATCCCATCACTGCTTGAGTTTCTTATCGTTTCTGGTTCTCTTTCTAAACTCTCGTTTCTCCGTTGAGTACTGCTTTTTTATTAACAAATTGCTCATGGATGTTTTCAAAGCCTCAGCAGCTGTCAAGAAAAAGTTTTCGTCAAAGGACACTCTTCCCTGCAACTTCTCGAGCAATTTCTCACCTCCGGGGATCTCATTGTCTTTCAAAACAATTGATCCGTGCTCAACTGAATCAGGAGTGCTTTCCTTAAAGCCAGAGATAACCTTGACACGGGCCACACAAGGGTATTGAGAATCATGCAAGTTAGAGGCACCGGTTACCATCCACAATAATCCTGACGATGAGCTAGTTCCCAAACTTGTCGGAATAAAGGCATCCCCCTCGATAGAAACCACCTGTTCGAATCACACCAAATACAAATGTCTACTTTATGTGCATGTCTTGGTATAGATCTTCAGCAATTTAGCTCCGAGGAGCTATATTTCATGCTAATTTAATTAGGTAGTTAACACTTAGGATAAAGGGGTTAACAGGAAGGACAAATGATCAAAATCAATGGTAATGTCAGGCAAGATGAAAAGAAATTTTGTGAATGAATTCAACTTCAGCTGCTTGATAACAGGTCAAAGTGTAGTTTTATACGGATGCATTCTTACAGTTCAAATTACTTGACTAATCGAGGTCCTTACCTTGGCCACATGGAGTGTTTGCGCAGAAGGATCACAGCTCAACAATATTATTCCTTGCAAACTACAATGGAATACCAAATGAGGATAAAGACAATGAAATAAACAGACAACCGCACAACGAAAAAATAGACACAAAATCCAACAGATAGGAACTTGCCTTTGAACAGCCACTGCAACAAGGGTGCTATCTGGGATGGTGCACAAATCGGTAACGGCCCCATAGCACTCTTCTATTCCCTTGGATTCTAAAAGTCCTGCCTTCAGAATGAAATCAAGTAAAAAGCATGCCAACAGAAAATTACAAGACTATCATACTGCTAGTAAGTATCAGCTAGAGAAATAGGAAAATTTTAGAACAAAGAGGAGGAAACTTAGAACTATTGAAGTACCTTTTCCCTAATATCACAAGTGTTTAGGAGAGATCCCGAAGAAATATCCCATAGACGAACCTGAAAACTCAACGTGGATCAATTACTCTACCGTACACAAGATGCATGCAGAAGAAATTCAAAGACCAAGTGTTACTATGATTACTTACCGTCGAATCACCACTTCCAGAGACAAGAAACCCCTGGAGGCATTCCTGAGTGCAAACAAAGGCAAGGCATGAAACAAACCTGCCAATAGATGCAAAAAAGTGAAGATAAGTGAAAGTTTAGTTGCAAGAAGATTTCCTAAACATGTTTTATGTCGAATTGCTAAACTTAATAAGAAACACCAAGGCCTGTCTATTTAATTTTGAGTTCACTGCATGTTTTGTGCATATCGAGTTGAAGTTTAAAGGAAATCCCTGACTAAGAACATAGCAAGTACAATTGTTTGCATAAAGCTTGTTCATTATCGATATAGTTTGTCTGCTGTCTTATAACAGAATAAATAGCCACCCACTCTGTATGACCAAGGGAGAAACTTTGTATCTCGTGAGCTCCATCTAAAGGCTTATTGGGAAACACTGTAACCTGCCATAAGAAAAATCATGTAAACTATATGCAAATGTAGCTATCAGATTACTGAAAGGGTTGTAATGCTGGATTACTCGAATTTTGAAATCCCGGTCAGCACTAACAAAAAACCGTCCATCTGGTGAAAATTCCTGCCAAAATTACAATGTTAATTACTACTCATCTCATGAATATCTGGTGGTCATAGAAACAATGTCCACCTACAATATAAGAAGAACCATTAGTATTTACGTGAGAGTAAGAAACAAATAAATCCTGAGCAGCAGAAAATAAATCACCAGGCTTGTTATGATGCTACAATAGTGAGAAAGCAGTGGTGCTGCCTTCATATTAACGGAAGCTTGATTTCCATCAGACACATCCACATCCACAACCCAAACAACCCCAAACTTGTCAGCAAAACAAACATAGGAACCGTCACTGCTTATGGCAACTGCACTCACTCTTTTCTCCGAGCACCTATAAAAAGATAAGCGGAAATAATATCGTATGATTTCGATGATATGATCCTCAAAACGACTCATAAGGGTACAAATGTCATGGGAGTTTCAAACAACTTACACAGTGGTAATGCAGCGCCAAGATTCAGTCGACCATATCTTGACGGTTTTATCATCACCAGCCGACACAAATAGCTTCCCGTCTGCTCCGTAGCGAATGGCTCTTATCGAATCCTTATGAAGAGAACTACCAGAATCATCTACCAAAGAAACCGCACAACCCCCACTGTCAAACAAACATCAGATTAAGCAGTTATTTTGCTAAAATTGATTAATTTCCTCATAAAATCACATAAAAACAGCTAATTAAGTATTAAATTACAACAAGAAACTGAATTTACAACTTCCAATTTTCCTGACAAATTACTCAAATCCAAAGATAGCATAAAGTTCAAAACTTGACCAAAACTGACACTCTGTTCTACATGTACAATTCAAAATACAAAGGGACCGACGCCGTTTCAATCTTCAGGGACTCACAGTTGAATCGTATTGCATTTCAATGGGGCCAATTTTTAGAATCCAAAGGAACAATGCACAGAGACAAAGGGAAATAACTTACAGGAGGTCGAAGACACGGAGGTCCGACCCGACTGCTACTGCGACGGAGCTATGGGTGGGGTGGACGGCAATTAAGGCTGGGGCCACCTCAGAATCCTTGTTGGTCTCACCGTTTTCCATCGGAGTGTCCTCCATTGTTGCTCAGAGACGGCTCTGGTTGGCGCTCGTCCTCTTCAGGGTTTTGAGTTTCGACACCAAAATTGGGGTTTATCTTTTGGGTTCGTAGAAAGCCTATCTAATTGTATTTGGGCCCAATGGCCCATTAAAATAACGGGTTTGAAGTAGTGATTGAAACTACGTTAAAAGTGTTTTCTAATAACCAAAAGTATTTCGGATAAGCGGTTGCAATTAGATTATTTCTGAGAGGTTAAAAGTGTTTTCTAATAACCAAAAATATTTCCGATAAGCGGTTTTAGAGAAGCAAATGAAGTTTTGATTAATTATATTCACATTTTTAATAATAAAAGCAACAAAAGAAACACTTTAGTAGAACAATTGCTCTAGTGTGGAAGAAATTTTCAGTATGACGGAAACACGGTCCTTGATACACCAAGTATTAAATACTGGTTGGGAACTTATTTTTTCAAGTTTTCAACCAATTATATTATTACACTAAATGTACCGAGCCGCGTTCCCAACGCACTAAAAAAATCTCTCTTTGACACAAAGCGAGGCCAATGTGGAGTCAGACAAGACCATAATTACAGTCCCCTTCGTGCTAATGTAAGAGTTGGTCTACTATTGAAGCGGTTAAGGTGTCTCTACCCCTATTTTTCTCGTTTTTGTAGTACAACTTAATGTCCTCGGTTCACCAATGCTTGGTGGTTCAAGTGGTAATGAGCTTGTTTCCCTTAAGCAAGGTCTTGAGTTCAAGCCTTGTGAATGGAGAAGCCAACAATGGGAGAGCTTGCCCTCCGAATGGGGTCTGACCCAGCTCAAGGGATCAGTACTTGCCTACGTGCGGGAAACTCCCTAGATTCATCCAAAAACGTCCTTGGTTTGATTGGCATCACGTTGGATCAGCGTATCATAATTATATAATCAAACAAACTAGGAAAATGGATTGATATGATTTTTTTATATATATAGATCACATTCTATAAATGACTTGTTGAACAACACAGGTTGCCCCATCAAATAAACATGAATGAAAGAAATTTATATAAGAAGCAGAGAGAGACATACAAGAAGATTATGAAGGAAGAAGAAAACAAGTGCTTGGTCCATGAGATCGTTCGTTCATATAATTCTTGTACCACTGAACTGTCGCCTCTTCCACCGGCGCTTCGGCCTAACTTCGGATATAAGAGTTCCGAGGGGAGCACAAGCCGATGATCGTATTGTGACACAAGGCCGACCGACGATAACAAAAAGGCAGCTGGCATAAGGCCAATTCCTTCTAGCAGGAACGAAACAACAAAAAGGCAGCTGGCATAACGCCAATTCCTTCTAGCAGGAACGAAAACACAACAACAAATGGCGACCAGAACAAATGAGACCTAAATTCTCAACTGTGCACAACCATAAACGCTTCCTTTGCACCGTGTCATTGGAGCAGCCTGGCGCCGAGTTGGTCTTTCATCTCCGATCGTGAGAACATCAACGTCTGATATTTGCTTGATTTCCGAGGTCCCATGTTCAGAGAGAATCACCCCACCAATCACATAAATTTCATCTCCTAGTCCAGCCATTGCAAACCCAACTCTGCCACTGAACTCAGAAGCCGAAACCAATACCTTTGATGATTCTCTGTCTTGTCTGGAGATTACTCCATGGCTCATCACATAGAGTGCATCCTTAATGACTGTCATTGGACCCTGTTGCCAACCATAATCCTCTACCGTCCATTGACGCCCAACATTGTCGAAGACTTGCACCGTTGATAAACCCCTGTGTAAGACATACATCTTTTCTCCAATCACTATCCCCGAGCATACTGAATTATGAGATAAATGCAGATCAGGAATTGGAGCCCACACATCTTTGTTAGGGTCATACATTTCTGCTAGAGAGATTGATTTCCGGCAGCTGGTTAAACCCCCTGCAACAACAATCTTTCCACCTAAAACACAGCATGCAAACATTGCACGAGGAACAAGCATAGATGCACGTGGAGTCCATTGCCTGGTTACAGGATCGTATGACCAAACCTCACTGGTTGAAAAGGTACCATGGTCACCAGTCTGTGGGTCAACAGCATCACTGCCACCACCAAGAACAAACAGTTTTCCAGCAGTAAAGACAGTGCCGAAGTTGGAAAGGTTTTTTATTTTAGAGGGGAGAACAGGAAGTGTAATCCAAAGGTCTCGACGAGGGTCATATAGTTGCCATAGATTATCTGGTTCATTAGCAGACACGCATAATAGATCCTCACATGAGCCAACTTCCTGTCGAACTCTAAAAAGTTCAGCGCTATGAATGGCAGCTTGCCAGGAACGAGAAACAAGCTCCAACTTGGGGTGGAGATAGAAGGGAACCCATGCAAGGCACCTAAGGGCAACAGCGTCAGGGAGACCTTCTATCAGTTGTTCAGACATAATAATCACAGTTCATCTGTTTCAGTTGATCCTTCACTGCTGACTGTTGCCACTCTAGGGCAGCACCGCAAAACAACCTGAAACATCAAAATATGAGGTTATGCCGAGAAGAGAATATCGATTTCGAATTTTCAAAATCAAAGTTTCAATGACAGTGTATTAAGATCAAAGAAGGTGCACAATAAAGGTCACTGTATTTTCTATCAAACTTCATAAGTAATCCGCAAATAAATGCCACAAATTGCAACAAAAACTTCTAACAAAACCTCAACATGAGAAATCACCTTGTCAATTGTGTTGCAAATTTCAAGGCCCTTATGTGCATGTACTGCTACGAAAGATAATCACAGTGTAACATAATCTCAAAAAGTGAAATGGGTCTGATTCTCAATCACCAACGTTATCATCGAGCCCCAAAATAAAAGAAAAAAAAATGTCCTCATTTACTAAAAGCATCTATCATCCTCATGATACTGCTAAAACATCCTAAAGGACCTTTACATTTGTATCCTGCAGTGCATAAATGACAGCATGAAGACCATAAAACGTTTGTTAAGTTTCAAAATGTCGAAACATAATGTACTTCATTCAAACGCACGCTATCATGTAACTTAAATGTTGTAGATATGGAAAAACAAAATAATATGAGGTAAAACAAATTCTGCACAAATCATGATAAGAAAACGAATGCCAACATCAGAAATCTCAGCCACTGAGATTTGTTACCGTGCTGATATTGTGATATAGCAAAAAATAGCTGCATGAGAGTATGACTGCTCTCTGTTACTTACCAGTTTTAGTGCGACGTAAGCAAAACAATTCTCTTCTCTATGCAGAAATTCCTACAAAAACAAAATGAAAGTTAAGAAATTTGAACTTTGAGATATAATAGCTTGTATAAACGATGTTCAAAACAAGAAATCTAACAAGTAATAAAAGATATCTCACAGTACGAGACTACTCACATTCTAACACATCAGAAAACTCATAGCTTTCAATTAAACTAGTTGTCGGTCCGAAAATTCTCGAGCATTCAAGCATACACCACTGTCAGCTAATGCATAACTATTTGGATTAGGGTGGATTCACACACTAAACGAAAATGCATCGGTGCAAAACCCGTTAACCTTGTAAGAGACCTTTGTTATCAATTCCAAATGAGAAACTAAAATGCTCAAACAAGAAATGAGGCAATAGGTAATTAAAAATTTCCAACAGACCACACCATTTAAAGCATGATCCGGGCCTCATGCAACAAAATTGGTATGAACTCACATGCATTACTACCTATGCAACAAAAGCATGAAACTTTTGTTTCAACTTTGAACCCAAAAAACAGAACCAATCAAATTCGTTCACCAATTGATGCACAAAGCACACAACTTTGAAACTCAATCCGTACTATTACACCAAAATTCTTGACCTTTAACACGAAACCCACCTCCAATTCCACATAACAAAAACTGGGCAAACAATGATTTCAACTCCAACTAAAAATCTATCACAATTCACCAAAAATTATGGTAAAAATTTCAAATTACAACTGAAACAACTCTAATCACATATCAAAATTTGTTTTTCCTTGCCCATAAGAGAGAGGCAGAAAGAGAGGGAGAGGGAGAGAGAGAGAGAGAGAGAGAGAGAGAGAGAGAGTGGATGTACCTGTACACGGGGACCGGGTGAAGAACACAAAGATTTGTGCTTTTGCTGCTCAAACTTCTAGAGGGGGAGAGAGAGAGAGAGAGAGAGAGGGTAGCGTTTGGTTTTCTAGGCTGAGAGGAGGACTTTTAAGAGCTCAAGGAAAACGCCGCGTTACAAAATCCAATGTTATTTGTGCGTGCTGTTTGCTTGTAAGGTAACGCGAGATAATTCGATCGTTACAGCGACGGATTGGAAAATTGGGGAACTTCTTGGGATTATCCTCTTTCACTTAACCCTAAGAACTGAATAAAATAAACATTTGTGGATATTCTTAAATTCCTAGTTGGTTCCTCTTTGCTTCCCCCATTTCCTTCGCGCTTTGCCATGGCATTTTTGTTATTTTTGGTTCGTCTTAGGTTGAAACGTGCATGGCACACTCTTGCGAAATCTCACCGAAATGAGAAAAATTTAGGTAATGACATAAAACTACGTTATTCGGGCCAAGTTTTGTCAAAAAGTATGAGGCTTCTTGTATTTTTGTTTTCCTCAAATTTTATGTCGGTCCAATCGACTTGATGATGATCTCACTAAATTTGAGAATTGCTTCAGTAAAGTAATCTTATTGATCGTTTTCTATATCTAAAAAAAAGGCTAATATGTATGTACAAATAAGAGTAATAGGGTCAAACATATCACTTTAAAGTTAAGTATCATTTAAAAAAAGAAGACTAATATGCACAAATAAATCGGTCATAGATTTAACGTAGCCATAAAATTCAAAAACACTAATCGGGCAATAAATCGTATATAAATTACAATTTGGTTTTTTTTTTATCATTCTTATATTTTTATATCGAAGAATTCGTGTTACATTGTAGTTATATTTTTAATAAACAAAAAATGACATATCTTAATGAATCATATTTTTAGTTGGCATGTCCATTGTTTTAAATTGAGATTTAGCATCTTTTTCTGTCCTTTCCAAAATATTTCCGAATTTTATGTGATCTTTTGTGGAGGCATATTCCATACATTCTGCAGAATGAGTAATTTGTAGGACTTTTCTTCCAATATATTAATTAGAAAAAATGGTACCTATAGCAATATACCTTGCCGTGTGGAAGGTTAGATGCATTGATGTTTTGACTCCAGAATAGAGCCTTCCTTCCTTGGCATAGGGGGCACGGTGGCGGTATGTGTGCTGCGTGTAAATGAAGCAATTTGACAGACCTACAAAAGTGCTTTTACGAAAAGTTCTTTTATACAAGAACATTTTTATATTTTAATTTTGGATTAATTTACTTAAGGAACACGGTTTGGTCAAAGCTCATGATTTTGTTGTTGATATGGTTGTTCTTTCAGCTTCATCGTATATAATTATATATGTTCATATTGTTGAAATCGAGATTTGACTTCATTTGGAGGCTTCTTCGGAGTACCACCGTTTTAGTGGTGACAAGTTAATTAATCTGTTTTGTTGTTTTGGTACAAGCAATGATTCCTGTACTTGGTTTGTATCGTCCATGGAAAAGTAGCAAACTCAGTGGCTGTTTTATTTCAATTCAATAAGGAGATAATATGTGAGTGAAGTACCAACTCATGTAAGGATTTATAAGAGGTTAGTTATTTTTTATTTTGTCAAATGGTTTTATGGTAAAATTTCAACTTTCTTTATGGTAGCAAGTTTGCCACATGTGAAGCTCAAAGGCTACACGTGCTTTACGTCACCTGTTTATGTTGTCCACGTGTTAGGCTTGAAAATTCGTCACACGTGAGGTTGATATGTGAAAATGTGAGGACAAAGTCCCACATTGATGAGGGACCAAACCATGCAAGGGCTTACAATTAAGGGGTCTCACATCGGTGAGAGATCAAACCATGCATGGTTCACATGTGACGAATTTTCAAACTTAACATGTAGACAACACAAATGGAATAACGTGGAGCACGTGTGACTATTAGGCTTCACATATGGGGCAACCTCTTCTGATACCACCAAGAGATGGAGGTTACACCATAAACCAATTGGCAATATAAAAAGTAGCACAACCTTTTATAAGTTTTTGCATGATAGAATCTCAATTTTCTTCAAGATAATCAATCATCTCGGACGAGAAGCAATAAATTATATAACCGCAATTTTTTTTTATGTTTTTTGACAGAAACGGTAGTAGAACTTCATTCAAAAACCAAAATGATCCGATTACAAAACAGGCCATCAAGCCAAACGGCGAAGCCCAAGTCAATTACCAACCGGAATAGCTTAAGACAAAAGAGAGAGACATAAGGCAATACACAACCAGAAATCACGTTACCATACTTATTACTAATATGAAGATAGCCAATCCCATCCTTAACTCTCGAGAAATATATAATAATGTCTCGTAACCCTACAGGAACACCAAAAGCTTACAATTTGCAAAAATTGGAACAGCAATATGGCACCCTATAGTTCAAGGAGTAATCTAGCTAGATACATCCATGGCATAAGAGCTTAGAAATTGGCTGTGGATGTTGAGGCATATGATACAACGAAGAGCAAGAAGAACAGCAGAGAAAATGCCAACTTGTTAGAATTTGCATCTGAAGACCCCACGTCAGTTGATGGCGAAGGAGAAGCTGCTGGAGCGGAAGACCCTGCAAAATCATGATTAAAAGTCAACCAATAAAGTTTCCTAAACCCTAGACAAGCACGAAGATTTATCATCTTGCACTCCTGTGTTATAGAAACATAAACCAGAATAATAATGTTATTTAGATGCATGAAAGTGAAAACACTGCTGACACATTTTTTAATACAACCATATGAGGAGTGTGGCCGGTTTTGTGTGTCTAAATTGAAGTACTCAAAAGAAAAATGACATTCAAAGGAGTACAAAATGATCTTCTTTTTTTTTCTGACGACAATAACACTTCATTCTATATACCGTTGCAGCGGCTAACCGGCGGAGTTTGGACATTGCAGGCAGAGGGGAGAGCCAAGGCCTGAGTCTGATTGATAGTCACACCAAGTGAAGAAGCACCTCCATTGAGGACCTCACAGAGGCACTGTGGCTGAGAGCTGACTACATTGGCAAACTGTGAGCAGCATGAGGAAGATGGGGATGATGAGTTTCCTGTTACATAATCAAGGCATGGGGACATGCTAATTATCACTTTGGTGCAACTTGAAGATTGAGCAACAACTCTGCCTCCTTCCCACAAAGCCATAAAAAAGACCAAAGTTAGCACCATTAATTCATTAATCCTCCTCCTAAATGCCATTTGCAAGTGAAATTAAGTAAATATTTCTGTGAAATTTGAGAAAATAAAGAGGGGTTTCGATGATGAGTTTATCTGGGTTTAGTGTAAGAAGGGGGGCTTGGGATTTGTATGTATAAAGGGGGAGATTGTGAAGGAAAGAGAGGCAGCTGGGTTTTCTTTGGCCACCAACTTTCCTACTTTGTAACACGTTTTATTATTAGTTAACCTAAAAATTTAGAAGGGATTATTTATAACTCCGTTCTATAGTAGTATTATTTTACTCTGTAAGTGAGAAGTTTTATATTTAACTATTGCAAATGATGAACTCGTTATCAATTTATTGACTAGCATATTGTGTGACTTAACCTCTATAGCCCTCAATAAATGTAAATATCAACTTCATTCGTGTATATATATCATCGTTTAAATCAAAATAAAAAAAATATAAGATTGGGACTATGATAATTTAATTAATAGAGTTACCTAGTTCTATGTTTCTTTTCTCCAGTTTGATTTAGCTTTTATAATATTTTAAAGCATGTCTAATTATTTTATCAGCCAATAGAGGATCTTGGAGATCCGTGAATTGTGTCCGTTCATCGTACATCGTGCGGTTAGTTTTTGTCAAATACTGTTTATGTTTATTTTTAAATAAAAATATTTAAAATAAATTTTAACCGTACGATATACGATGAATGGATACGATTTACAGATCACCGAGATCCTCACAAAGAGGATCCAGCAAGAATCGGGACTCTTTTATCACATCATTCGTGTACGTTGCTTAGCTTTTCTTTTTCTTTGACTATATGTATGTATGTGGGGGTGAGGAAGATGGGACACCGGTCCTTTACACACATTTTGTAAGGTTTGTTTTGTAATGTGGTTAAACGAACTGAACCGTTTATATTTTAATTCATCTTTCATAGATAATCATTGTAAAAAAAAAAAATATTAAACAAATCTAAAATCATTAAGCCATTCATGTTTAGTGAAAAAAAAAATAGACTAGTACGATTTTACACAAAAACAATAAATTTAGTCCAACGGATATATGACTTCGGATTTGGGTGATTTTGGTAGAGGTTATATTTGAGAGAATACCTAATAAATAGACGATTAGATCGTTGAAATACATTACGTAGTGAGTCTCATAAAAACGTGTATAAAAAATGTCTTTGGATAACCCACGTGTATGATGCTTAATGCTACCGTCCAGTGAAGGCAGGCCAACCTCCCTGATTAAGTTTGGTGTGCTGTGGGATTATGTGGCCTCCTAAAGCTCAAAGTCGACGACGGCAAGAAGAATAAGAAAAGGAAGAGGGGGGGGGGGGGTTTGTGGCGAAAAACTACTTCTCATGGGATATTCGAAAGTGTTGAAAACTCACATATAAACCCGCACATCGTTGTCTGACGAAATGAGAGGAGGCAAAAAAAGCCAATGGATTTCATTTTCCATGAAAGCAAAGAACCTGTGCAGATGCTAACTGGACCATGGGAATAGAATCTTATATACTCTTTTTTTTGAGTGAATTATATACTCTTTGATCAAGAAAACATAAGACTTTGTTGAATCCGCACATAAATAGTTATCTTTCTAGAACATCATATCATTTTAAATGGCCCAAATGGGTGACCAAAAATCAAAGCTTTGGTCCCTAAAGAGGGTTGGGATTTATTGCGTAGAGAATCGAAGTTCAACAAATGAAAAATTGAGTAGCGTTAAATCAACTAGTTATCTAACATTATTAGTGATCCAATACTTCATGTGTGGTTACACTTTTTTATTTCGTATTTTCATTTTTCATCTTTTTACTACAAAAAGGTATTCTAAATTATTCTGGTCTATGTAGAACGTAATTTTGTAGCCTTTATTTGCAATCTTAAAATAAAAAATTCATTATCAAATGTTAAAAGTACAAACAAATGATGTAAAGAGAAACACACAGTACAAGTACGAATAGGCATCTCCTTCTCTAAGATTCAAGAGAGAAAAATTAAAATGCTCGTCTCTAAGAAGAGCACTGATCATATGAAATCAAGGTTCTAAAAGACGCTAGGCGCTAGTTGGGCGGTGAGTTGGGGCCTAACGCCTAGGCGGCTAGACGGATTTAAGTAAATCTATTATATTTCGTGTAAATAAGTGTCTGTTTATACTTAATATATATATATATATATTATATATATATATATAATTTTCTTATAAACTACAAAATAGAATATCATATATATTAGGAAGTATTGGAACATAATGAAAACATGGGGAACATGCATATAATGTGTATTCATTTAAGTATTTCAACAAGTCTCTTACAATTTATTGAAAAAAATAAGATGCAAAATGAAAGTTATCTATTTTTTGTCTAAGTGAGTTGCAACCTAGGCGGTCTAGGCGGGCGCCTCAGCAGGTCTAGGCCCCTTCTATAATTTTCAAACGCCTAGGCATTAATTGGGGCGGTGGCCAACCGCCTAGCGCTTAGGTGGGAATTTTTTAGAACAGTGAATGAAATGAAAAGAAAATGTAGTGAAACATTGGAGAACTAGATCACATGCTCCAAACCTCTACAGAGAAGAAGACTCAGAATTTGGCGAGCGAAGAAGCACATGACATAACAAAAACGAGAAAGAGCACAAAATGAAGAGGTGCTCTGCTGGTGCTTCCGTCGGATGTGTTACCGTTTGTGGATGGGACTGTTTTCGAACCTCCTCCTGCATTAATACATGTCATGTTAGTATTTCGGATCTAAGTTGACAATGTGACAATATAATATGTTAGACTATTTGAGAAGACAACATTTCACGATGCATGTCACTGTAGTTGATATGGAATAATATCTTATACCTGAAGATGAAGGAATGTCCGAGGCCAATGGCGAAATGGACGCTTCAGGAGTAGAAGCTTCTGAAGGTGTTTCATTGGAGGAAGCTGCTGGGGAACTTGCTGGAGGAGTTGATGATGAAGTTGAAGGTCCATTGGCACCTGCTTTAATCAAATCAGTTCCAGCTTATTAGTATAAAATACCTTATTGTTGGGTCAATTGTTGAGAATGAGCACACACTGATAGGAGGAGAGACATTGCATGTGCTTATAAGTAATTGATCGTACTCTCCAATTACCAATTGATTTATGATAGAACCTCAACTTTCTTCATCAATACCTGAATAATATAAGCTATTTTGGCATTCATAGTTTAACTTCTAACACTTCAATTTAAATATTTTATATTTATTTATTATCTAGATACATTGTCGAGTGCAATGAGATAAACTGAAACTGCGAAAATCACTACTCTAAAATAATTTCAACTTACCTTTACATTGGCTAGGGGGAGGAGTTTGCACTTTGCAAGCCCTGGGCAATGACAAAGCAAGTGTTTGGTTTATGGTGATGCCCAATGAGCTGGCACCGTTGACCAAAGAGCAAAGGCACTGAGGTGATGACTGGACAACATTAGAGAGCTGTGAGCAGCAAGAAGATGAAGGGTTTGATGTGTTTCCAGTAACGAAGTTGAGGCATGGAACCAGGCTTGTGATTGTGCTGGTGCAGCTTAACTGAGCCATGACTCCACCCAATAGCATGGACCCAAGGACCAGGGCTAGAACCATCTCAATTCCTTTGAATGCCATGGTCAAGTGGACTTGTTTGAAAATAACGAGGAGATGGACTTGGTGATTAAACTTTCAAAAGATATGTGTAATTTGCATATTTGTGATTTGGGGTTTGAGTGAGGACAGAAAAGGGATGATATGGGATTTATATAGGGAACTTTCTTTTTGTAGAGACAATAAGATTGGTGTATTTGGGTGGCCAAACCTCAACTGAATTGATGTTGTTGGCAACTAAAAAGAGCTTTTCAATAAATTAAGATAAGAAACTGTCATTATTTGAACCAATTATATGCTCTAAAATCAGATTACCTACTTTAGATTTTGGACCCGCCCAGTAACTTGTGTGTCACCCTATATAATTGGGGTAATGATATTCACACACCCTTTTATTACTTTCCACACACTCTTGTTAATTTTTTTCTAATGATCTTCAATTCATTTGATTTGACGTTTGAAAATTGAGAGGTGTGTATGAGAAGTAAAAATAAGTATGTAAATAAGATTATCCTACATATAAGTGAATCAAATTTATGTAAGCAAAGCATCAAACATTTGACAAATGGCTTGTAACTCGAGTTGTTAAAAGTACTAATTCCTACACTAAAAGCAGCTCAAGTTGTTAAATTAGTGTACCATTGCACCCAAGGTTCTCCATCCTCACTGTGTTAAAGGATTTACATTAAGTAACCAAGTCAAAAGTTTACTATAAAAACTCCAATAAGAGTTTTCGACCATGTCATTTACTATACGTTTTTCACAATGCTGTAAAATCTATTTATATTTTGGTCTCACCTGACCTTATACCTAGTCACACACACTATTGAACATCCTTCTCACTATGTAGAACTATGCTATAATTAAGGGATTCGTCCCCAAGTATATGAAAAGATTAGTTGAAAGTTGTTGAACTCCAAAACCCACTTCAAAACGACTCCTTTTTATTTTTTCATTCAAAACCTCTCCATTTCATCAGCTATATATAAACTACCTCCTCAACTTGAGCCAAACCCAACTAAGTTCTAAATCCCAGTATTTCAATTCCCAGAGCCTTCCATTGAAGACAAACTCATGGACTCATTCAAGGACTTTCGATTGAGTCTAATCCCAATTACCCTCCTTATCATTTCACTAAGATGGGTTAATGGGCAGATTAGTACACCATGCACAACCTCAATGATAAGCAGCATCACTCCATGCGTAAATTTCATCACCGGGAGTACAAGCAGCGGCGCACCACCGACAGCCGGATGTTGCAATTCGTTAAAGTCAATAATGGGCACGGGCACGGACTGCGCTTGTCTTCTTATAACCGGCGGTGTCCCTTTCCAACTGCCCATTAACCAAACCCTTGCGCTTTCTCTTCCTCAAGTTTGTGGGATGGGAGCCGTCCCACTGCAATGCAAAGGTACGTACTCACATAATTTTAAGATTTTTCTAAGAATGTGTTATATAAGTGACGACTTGTATAAGAAATCTAATTTTGCGATATTTCTTCTTAATTTGCAGCCTCTGGTAGTCCTTTAGCTGCTCCAGGTATGTTAGAATTCATGTTAATCTAAGAATGTAAAAATTTAGGCCTTGTTAGGTGGCTGAGACAATACACGACTAATCAATTAAAATGGCCTATTTGTCGTGTCCTTTGTTCGGTTAACTTGTACATGTTAAGACTGGACTTATTAAATTGGGCAACAGTCCGACATTTGTGACTTACACATCCCGTCTGGATTGGGTGAGACTCTATAGTCCAATCCCGGCCACCAAACGGGTCATTTCGCGATGTGCCAATGTGTTAACTAGTACTTGAACTGGCAGGTTCTGGGTTACTAGGGCCAACACCCCCACCAACAGCTTCTTCACCTCTAAGTCCAGGAGGTAATAATTATTGATTACTAGCTAATTTTTCCTTCAAATTGCAAAGAAAGTTTTAAGTCTCTTTCTGAAGGCTAATACTAACGTTAATCTATTGGAATTGATGGGCAGATTCTATGGCGGTTGCAGCAGGTCCTGCACCAGAATCTGGAACATCTGATGATCTGCAGCCAGCATCTCCATCAGATGAACCAGAAGCTCCAACACAAAGTACCAAAGGAGTCGGAAGACCACAGCTGACCCCATCAGCATCTAGTTTAACCTATGTTCCCCCACCATCTTTCATACTGATAATTTTGGGAATTATGGTTTTCAAGTCCTACTAATACCTCTCTAGCACATGCTTTTTGTATGGTTTATCACATCCACAACTAGTAAGAGGATTGTTATAAGATCGTTAATTTATACCGTCTTCATTGGAATGGTATAAGCTTAATAAACATTGTTAGCTTGGCTCATATTATGTTTAACTATTTGGGGCGAGCGATTGTCTACGTGTGGTAGCTAGTCAAACAATACGTACAATGGCGAATCCAGTATATTTTCCTCTTGGGATTAAGACGAAGTTCGCATGACATATGAGGCATTTTTTCAATCACCTTGCCGTTCCATGCTTAAAGGAGAATATAAAAGGAAAATTAGACAATTTCATGTTCAACAGTGGTGAGGTGGACAGCTGCATAAACTCGCCCAACCAAGTATCAAGCCCTCGTGTATAATCAATTGTCTTAAATATTCCATACAATACCACGTATGTTGCAGTCCTATTAGATTATGAATGTAATTGTGTAAATCCTAGTATATCTTGAAATATATCTTTTATATTCATATTAGGAATTGATTACGAGTTGTAATCCTAAAGGGGTAAGGAATTAACCCTCCCTACTACTATAAATAAAGGCACAATGGGGTGGAATAAAACACACCCACAATTACACATCTCTCTCTTCTCTCTACTATTGCCGTACCTTTCTTTCTCTCTCTATGGCCTCCATAACTGTTCAACAAATTATACCTACAACATGTTATCAGCACGCTCTTGACGCTGCGCTAACAAGAGAATTTATTCTTCAATCAAGGGAGTATTACGTTTTAATCATTATTTTAATGATTAATTTACTATTTTATTGAATTGATCTACAAGCTATTGATTCAATTTAATTTTTCTGTGTTGAACGTGATACAACGCATTGGAGATACAATTCTGGCTTTTCGAGAAGGATTTTCTACAAATTCAAAGGCTTTTGTTGTTTTCTGCCAATAAGGTACGCTTAAAATAAAGGAAGATATTTGAAACGACCTTGAAGCATGAAAACACACTCCCTATGATGCATGAACCCCTCTTGTTTATATTTTCCTTACGATATATATATATATATATATATATATATATATTGTATATGTTTATATATTTTGTCAATATATATATATTTTGTCAATATATATATATTTGTTTCATGCATTACGCAATTAAATTGCTATGTGGAACGACATTGTTTGACGTCTTGGACCCTTTGCCAAAGCCCTTGGGCTTCGCTGCATCTGTGGATAACTAGGCCATGTGCCTGGTCCAGTTTTTTACCACGGGCCTGCAGCCCCGAGCTACATTAGTGCCTGCTAGGCTTAGCCTTGACACGGCCCGCGTTTCCATAAGCTAGCCCATGGGGCTGGGCTTAGTTTATGTGCCTAAAATCGAAACCCAGTTACGGCTGGGGTTTCACTCGCAACCCGCAAGCCTTTGGGCTTGTTCCTGCACCTTTCCTTGGCCTAAAATCACGCCAGCCTCTTGGTTGGGCTCTTTGGGCCAAAACCAGCAACTTAGGCTGCCCTTTTTTGTTCACACCCAGGCCTGTGGCCTGTAGCCCACTCCCGAGGCCTTTATGGCCTTTGCCTACTTATGGCACCCAACCCAAAATTTTTTGGGCTATGGTTTTTGACCCAATGCTTTATTTAGCATTCTTTTTTGACCCAATGCTTTTTTTTTTGGCATTTTAAATAATTTTAACCCGAATGTTATAATTATTTTTGCTTTTACAATCGACCCCGAATGGTCCCGATTTATTGAATTAATTAAAAGTGACCTTTAGTCCATTAATCTGATAATGAATCCAAAATTATTGACATGAAGATCACTATTGGACATTAACGATTCAATAATTTATTTTTATACTTTGAACCGTTGACATACTTTTGTAGTAACGAAGGTCTCACACTTAAGTTCCCGAAGAAACTCAAATCCACTACACTTAATTATATATTGCATTCTGTGTTCTTGCAGGAACCTCTATTTCATGAACTAAACATTCATAAACTAAAATTGAACCTGTAGTTTCAAATTTAGTGCCTTTGAACCTGAAGTTTTCATAAAACAATACACACATGAAAACCTGACATTTTTCATGAAAACCATGTCTTAGAACTTGAATGTTCTAACTTTGATGCTTATGGTCATTCCCATAACACTAATCACAATCTTGTTCCCTCCAATTTAGTGGATTGTCGAACCATTACAAATTCGATTTTCCTGATTTGGATGTTTCTAAGAGAAACCACTTTATGTGGGGTACAAGACGTGAATATCCACTTGACTATCAAGAAGCTGAGAAACCATTGTAGCCGACAATGGCATGGAAGAGCTGAATAAGCCTCCGTTATGATCTTCATTTGATGACTTATGCCCGAAGCATTACCAATGGAAGTACCCCTTGAACGAGGATTCTATGGCTCTGTGGCTCATACCATGAACCGTCTAATCATGAAAGATATTGCTCGATGCACACCATGATTACGTCCATGAATGAGTACAATTTTGAAGTTTATAAATCCGATCGAATTTCGACTGGAGAATACTTTTTCTTGTCCTTCCTTATTTTTAGCTCGCTCATGAAGCAACAAGTGTAGAAAGCGGAAGTTCACCAAATTCTCGAATCTAATTACTACCACAAACATATGGTAGAATCAGGGCCTGCCAAGGTGTGGCATCATGCCTAAAGCGTGATCCTCGACACCTAAGACCTAAAACTTCAAGAATAAGGGATAATATTCATGAACCTTAACCTTGCAGACTATACTTCCGTCTTGATGGAATAGATCATTGGTTATGCACATGTTCATGCCCTACCAATGTTGTTGAGGAGTACCATTCTAGTAGTCATTATGTGAGACTAATTTTGCTCCACCAAACACCGTTGGAAGAGCATAATTTTGACATGGATGGCCTTGTTGGCCGAATCCCCTTAGTAAACCA